AAAAAAATTTCCATTTTTTCGCAAACACGAAACACAAGCAATTTCTCCACGATAGAAATCAAATTTCCGTGCAACTTCGAACCTGTTCTATTTTCCAGCGAAGTAAATTTCGACACGCTCATAAATTCCTCGTATATGTACGAAGCAGTAAAATCTGAATAAACGAATAACGAATAGTATTGAACGAATAAAGAATAACGAAGGAATAATTCAGGAATTCTAATCCAGCAACGGATAACAAATAATATTGAATGAATAATAAATAACGAAGCAACAATTAAGGAATTCTAATCCAGCAAAGAATAACGAATAATAAATAACGAAACAACAATTAAGGAATTGTAGTGAACAGTTATAGTGAATCGATACGATAGAATCTGTGCTTGTATAAATGTTTTGTAGACTAGTTATAATTCGCGCGCGTGAAGCAAACAAAGAAAACGCGTGTTATTGAGTCCCACCGCTGGGTGGCGCCCTTATCGTCTCAACTTGGTCGCTGTATGCGCCGCGTGTGTTATAATGATAATACTTTGATCTTATTAATGTTGATTATTACCAACATATTGTTCCAACTATGTGTTTATACTAAATATATTATATCTTTTAATCCTGGTGTGCTTGTTTTTACTCACTGCGCCAACATGTTTCATTATTGCAATCAAAATAAAATAAAATGAAAAAATATTTAGATTGCTACAAGGAGTTTTGTTTTCTCCACAAATATATAAAATTGATCCCCGTCAATTTAAGAAACTTCTAAATATTTCTAATTGATCAAGAACTCGAAACGCGTTTTTAAATAATATTTGAAACGATTTCAAGCAAAAATAAATGTTCGAATCTATTAAAAACTTGGAATAGAAACGATGGAACGCCCACTACTACTTTGATGAGAGTCCTATTTACCGTGTAAATAGCCGAAAGGCGTTGAAGGGAACAACCAGAACCGCAGAAGCGCAACGAGGAAGGCTCGCATGTGTTTGGCGGACGAGAGTGGAAGAACGGCGTCTTTTTGCTCGCGTTCTCGAAGAAAGTGCAACGAGCTGATGCGCCGGGACGCGTTATATGCACGAGCCGTGGCCTCCTGACGTGAGTAATCGAGTCTCGCAGCTGCTTTTACCAGAACCCGCCAACGCCAAGCAGTCTGGCCACGGCGAACTTGGTCCGGAGGCTTCGTGGCATCCGGTTTGAACTCGTAAGTCTTGCATAATGGCCGCGGAGCAACACCGAATCCTTCGATCGGGAGTAAAAGAAACTCAACGAGATGCAAACTAACTTTATTTCCACTCTTTTCCTTCCCTTCCCGTCGAATGGTATTTTAACGCGTTCACTGCCAGACCAAAATTCTAACATTTCTTTACGAAACCAAAAATTTGATTTCAAACAATATTTTAAAATTAAAATTTGTCTTACTACTTATTTTCATCGCTAAAATTCATGAATTCTATTTAATACTAAAACTACGATTTATAAGGTATTTATTTGTACCAAAAAAATTAAAACGATAGATGTTTGGAGACATGTATAATGCTAGACCAAAACCATACAATTTTTTTCGAAATCAAAAATTTGATTTCAATTTTTTAAACTTAAAATTTGTCTTAGGACTCATTTTCCTCGTTAAAATTCACGAATCCTATTTAATACTAAAACTAGTATTTATTAGGTATTTATTTGTACCAAAGAAATTAAAACGATAGATGCTCGGAAACATGTATTATGCAATAGATATATATGTATTCTCTTATAGAAAATTACGATGAATTTACAAAAATTCAGTTGAGTAAATTTTTTACAATTTTTATTAGAAATTACGAATTTTGACCACTTCGATTGTTCTATGTATGAGAGATATGGGAAACTGTTAATAAACTTCGTGCACTGTATGGGTCTAACTGACCCAATACCTAAGGACAATGTTAAACATTTTTTCACGGCATTTTTTTACACATCCTCAGGAGCAAAAAGTATAAAATCTATTTGGTTTGAAAATGATGGAAAAATTGTGAAAAATGTATTTAAACCGGGGGTTGAGAACAGTTACAAGAAATTTGATTTCACCCCTTTAAAAAATGTTACTTTTTGAATGAACGAAGTTTAATTATTTATGTTATTTATTTTATTTCTCAGGAAATTTCTATTAATTATTTATAATCCAAACGTAACAAAAATGGCAAAAGATCACAGAACAAAATGGCACATAAATATACCATTGATATAATAAGTTCTATAAAAAATTGGCAACATTTGATATTACGGACTTACTATACAAATATAAACGGACTTACTATACAACCTAATACATATTTCTTTTTTCAAGAGTACAAATACCATAACTATTATTTCAAACTTCGTTAAAAACGAAACGAAAGATAAAACCAAAAATAATTGTATATTATAATTCTATTAAAATGTTAAAAGTACCATAACTATAATTCCATACTTTGTTAAAATACTGGTAGGAGCATACATTACTCTCCATACATATTATTATTATGTTATATTATTAACCTCACCTCTTAGTACCTCACAATTGTTCCACGACCAATCTAACAATACCTCGGAAAATATATATTTTCGAAAATATTTATTAAAATTATTTATCTTAAAAATAAAAATCAATTTCTTGTTTTTAATTTTATAGTAAACTGCATTATATTTTGTATGAGAACAACAAAGGAAGAATGCACCTATTGCACACCCTAATATACATATAAACAAATGTTACGAGTTACATTCATTATAAAATGAAAACCGTACGAACTTATGGACCAACCCGATATAATACGCCAATCTCGCAAGCACGAGAGCATAAAACGTTCCGCGAGGATAAAAGTGGACTGGATAATGTTTGACCGGATCACGAGCGTAACGCGAATCGTCGGCGTAAATCAACCCTTAAAGAGCACTGGATAATATTTGCCCAGACCGTGAGTGTACGGTGACTGAAGGAGCCAGTGTAAATCGAGACGAAACGATGAAGCGTATCTCGATTCTCCGGAGATTGAGCGGTAACATATGATACGCTGCATTCTCAGACGACTGCCACGGCGGGAAAAGATGAATGAACCGGCGTGAATGAAAAAGAAACGCTGTAAATGCCCTAAACCAAGCGTGAGAATTCGCTCTTTTCACAGGTTCCTCCAGATGATGGGAAAAACATGGCTTTTCTTTGATCGTTCTTCATTCGCGCCCGTCGAACGAGAGGATGCACGTCCCAGTTTCCAATTACAGTGATGATTCTTAAAATGAACATTATTCACGACATGTTGGCACGTTCGTATTTCGTTCGGCTCGTATCGTTTTTTAAATGTCGTCTTTTACGCTTCGATGGCTCCAAGGGGAATGGGAAACGTTTAACTTATGAATCACGTATGTTCATTCTACGAGTCATTACTGTAACGTGAGACAGTAAAGCTAGAACCGGTTCTATAGTATTGATGGTACTGGACAGAAATCTTCAACTTACGAATCACGTCTGGGGGTTCATTTTACAAATCATTACGCTTCGCTGACTCCAAGGGGAATAGAAACGTTTAACTTACGAATCACGTCTGTTCATTTTACGAGTCATTACTGTAACATGAGAAATTCAAGCTAGAACCGTTTCTATAGCATTGATGGTACTCGATAGAAATGTTCAACTTACGAATCACGTCTGCGGGTTCATTTTACGAATCATTATGCTTCGCTGGCTCTAAGGGGAACAGAAACGTTTAACTTACGAACCACGTCTGTTCATTTTACGAATCATTACTGTAACATGAGAAATTCAAGCTAGAACCGTTTCTATAGAATTGATAGCACTGGACAGAAATATTCAAATTACGAATCACGTCTCAGTTCATTTTACGAATCATTACTGTAACATGAGAAATTAAATATAGTACTATTTGATAGAATTGGATAGAACACTGAACAGAAACTTTGCAAAACATATAATACGAAAACAAATCCTAGAATATTTTTAAAATGCCAAATTATTTTCATACATAGATTATTGGTAGTCATAGAACATCTTATAGTCGTTGAAATTGTCTTAATTACGTCTTCATCAATGTCAATAAACATAGTAAATCTCTTAATTTTTCTGTTCCTACAATTGCTCCATCTAATTTTATTTAATTTTAATTTAATTAATGTTTTTCTACCTTTGTATACTAGAGTAATTTTCCTATAAATAAATAAATAAATTTAGAATCTACAAAACTACAGATAGCTATTATTATCTTGCAATTCTTTAATAATTTAGAAATGAAATGAGGAATATATTTAATGCCTGTAAGCACTGATCAAGCTATAATCGCATGTAGCCCAGAAAGGGTTGAACTAAGACTTAAATTGTGGTGTGACTAATTTATCATGACGATGGAAGGAATGTGGAATCCAGATAGATGTAATCGGAAAGAGCGATTAAGACGTTAACTGACCAGTAAATCGAACATAACCAATGATTTTACAAACTGGTTTAGTCTTTGAAACACGTCGCTCAGAGGTACATAATTTCGAGCGATGACTGGAGAAAAAAAATTAAAATGCTGATCGATTTGTGACACATGTGTTCCACTCTACATAAAAAGGAAACATAAACGATCTAATGCAAGAGATATAATGAATGGATTTCTCTTCAAATAATAACAAAATCATACTGTAATCTATTCTTTTTAATAGTGAATTAAATTAATAATAAAATAAAATAATATTATAGTAATATTTAATAATATTACATATGTACTGGAATAATTATGCAAAAATATGTGTATCTACACCCACTAAAGTAACTTTTTGTAACCGAAAAATCAAATTTGTAAATATGTTTGTTCACACTGATGTAACTTGTCTAATAAAATAATAAAATTTAAACAAAAAATGAAACAGAATCTAGTTATATTGATATAATAATTGGCTCCTTCATTTTTGGGAAAGAATTAGCAAATAACAACTCGAGTATAGAAATACTAAAAATAAATAAAATAAAATGACAAACCAACTGTACTCACTTTTCGTGGATCTTTTTCTGTCGTTCTTTATCTTTCTTTTTCCTTTTCGGTTTCAAGGCTGGATCGTAGGCATTCCCTTTCATTTGAAACTTTGCCCTCTGAACAGACAACGTTTTCCCCCTAATTTGTGAATTATCCAAGATCTTTAGCGCCAAATCGACTGACTCGACCTGAACAAAAATAAATTAATATTATTAATATAAAAATTATATAAATACAGTGTGTCCCGCAACTAGTGTAAGGACCGGCAATGGGAGGTAGCTGAGCCGATTCTGAACAACAATTTCCTTTGCAAAAATGACGGATGGGGCTTCGTTTTTGAATTATTAACGAAAAACACTGACCAATCACGGCACGCGCCTACCGCGCGCTCAGGGCCGTCCGAACTCAGAGAGCCCACGCGTCGGGTAGATAGCAAGATGTGCATTGAAGATACGTCGAGGAACGAATACAAATAATTAAAAATACTACCACTGCAACTGTTACCTAATTCGTTAATTACTACGTAATTAGTACGTAAATTACTAAATCGAATTTATTAATTATTTGTATTCGCTGATTCCGAGAAAAAAGGAATAAAATCTCGGAATTTTTAGGAAATTAACCCTTCGCACCCGAGTGCCGCTTCTCGCCAGAGTGTTTTGAAATTAAAATAAGAATTATTTTCCGAAAATTAAATTTGTTATTGAAAACTGCACTGAAAAAGCAGACTGGATTTCTGCGTGTCGAATCATTCCTCGAATATAAAGGGTTAATAGAGAAATAATTGGAATTCGATTTACCTGCTACGCTGACAATTCAACCTTGCCGCGATCGACAGCGGTGCACTGTCCGGGTCCTATTGTCAGCGTAGCAGGTAAATCGAATTTCAATTATTTCTCTATTAACCCTTTGCATTTGAGGAATGTTTCTACACGCAGAAATCCAGCCTGCTTTTTCAGTACAGTTTTTAATAACAAACGTTTACAAATGTTTCTTACCGTATTTAATTTAATTTTCGGAAAATAATTCTTATTTTAATTTCAAAACACTCTGGCGAGAAGCGTCACTCGGGTGCGAAGGGTTAATTTCCTTAAAATTCCGAGATTTTATTTCTTTTTTCTCGGAATCAGCGAATACAAATAATTAATAAATTCGATTTAGTAATTTACGTACTAATTACGTAGTAATTCACGAATTAGGTAACAATTGCAGTGGTAGTATTTCTAATTATTTGTATTCGTTCCTCGACGTATCTTCAATGCACATCTTGCTATCTACCCGATGCGTGGGCTCTCCGAGTTCGGACGGCCCTGAGCGCGCGCCGTGATTGGTCAGTGTTTTTCGTTAATAATTAAAAAACGAAGCCCCATCCGACATTTTTGCAAAGAAAATTGTTGTTCAGAATCGTCTCAGCTGCCCCCCATTTCCGATTCTTACACTAGTTACGGGACACCCTGTATAAGCAACCACAATATCACTCGATAATTTTTTTAAAATTATTATTACACTGTTTCTAAAATATCTTTTGATATTTTTAATTTCTTAAACTATTGAACTTACTGTTTGTTAAACTTACAGAATTTTTTTTCAACATGGATTCGAGTTTCGTGCGAAACAGCAATCAGTCACAACGAAAGCATACGCAAAGTCTACTTTGCCAGCAATTTATACTCGACGATATTAATTAATTCGTCCTCGCAACGTTAGCATAAACCAACGTTGATTTAAAATCGAGCGAGAAACAGCAGAACAAAAGCGTCGAGAGGAATGTAGTAGCTTTCGCGTGGCGCATAATATCGATAATTATCACGCAACGTAAAAAAGTCCGCTTAATTGTCACTAGTTCCTGCATATTATGCAGGCAAAAGGTTTCAGATGCAAAGATTTAGCAAATCGTTCGATGCTTGGGGAAAAAACTGAAATCAACCGCGTTTCGAGCTACGTCATAATAGGATTCATAGCTTTTGCCTAGCTGTTAGCCTAAAATCCGACTTTAAACCGTAAAAGCGGTTTGGAATATGGCCTTTCGAAAATGGTGAGAAGGTACTTTTATTATCGCAAAATATCAACAAAAAGTTTTCATTCATTGGTTGATCTTGATATTCTCAAAATGAAATTGTAAAAGTGGAAATTTATTTTATGTATTAAAATATTAAAAAAAAATTAATATCTTAATATCTGAAACTTAAAAAATAATGATTTGGGTTGTTTCTTTTATTTAAATATCTAAAAAATAAAATTGTAAAAATATAAATTTGTTTTATATATTAAAATATTTATTTTATGATCAAATTATTTGCAATCAATACTTTTTTACTTGACTTCCCGAATACTTTAATCGAATTATGTTTTTTCTCATTAATTTTATTATAATTTCTTTAAAACTACACAAACAACTATGAATTTGAATAAAATTATAAGTTCTATAAACATTTCGAAATGATATGAAGATTGGTTGAATTTTTTCAACTTTTGACCGAATATATTTAAAAATGTTATTTTTCAAAAATTCTCTCCATCCCTTAGATTTTTATTATAGTTTTTAAGGGAACGATTTTTTAATTTCTCGCTAGAATTCTGACTGAAATTCCATCCATTCAAAATAAATAAAAATCGTGCATTAAAAGGTCTGAAATACATTTGTACAATAATTTTTAATATTTCGTATCCATAAAAAGTGTAAAAAAACATTCACATCGCTAATAATAAAGCTAAAAGGGAACAACTTATTTACGAATAAAACGGAGCTTCGACTCGAACAAAAATTACGTCTCTAAAGAGTTCTCAGTTTCTCGATTCCAAAAGGGAAACTATTCCAATAGTTTCGTAAACTAGATCGCTTTCAGTAAGAAGAACATCCCCGTTCATCGTGTTCGTAATTGCCAGTTAAAGCGAAAAAGTAAAACGAGGAAAGGAAACACGATTGTTCTCCCGGAATTCTTGATGAGAGTTTTAGAAGCGCAATCATGTTCCCAATATAAGTGCTCCAGTAAGCCATTAATCTTTTAATTTTTTTATTTTTACCACCAAGGAGCAAACAATAGCCTCTGACAGTGCATTATTCGTTGAATAATGAACTATCGGCGACTCGTGCATTTTGAAAAAAGAAGAAATACTTTATTTATACACGAAGCAAAATTTGAAATCGTATAAAAATTTATAACTCATAAAAATTTCTCGATTCTAAAAACGAAGCATTTTTAGTGGTATAAATATTATCAAACACGCAGAATTGAAAGTAGTTTCAATTCAGTCATGAAATTTTCGTTTATTTTCATTGGAACATTTCTTCAAAAAATGTTTTGCGATTATCAGATAAGCATTTTTAGTGCTATCATGAAATTAAATCACCGTCGGTAATAGAAACATTGTGTATATTGCGTTCGTTCCATTAAAAGAATATTGATAATCGTTTGAAACGTGCTGTTATATTTCCGATATAAATGTTTCTGGGAGCCATTACGGTCAGCCATTTTGTACTTATATTCTAAAACAAAAGCATTTTTAATGGATTCGCCAACTCGATAATAAAAATGATAATATTAAAATGAATCAAGGTAATAATAAATATATAATAAAATTTGACTTATATAAAAACAAAGAATTGTTTAATCAATAATTTTATATCACCAGTAAAATAGTTACTCCAAAAACCATTTATCGTTTTCGTAATTTCTAGCAACAATGAATAATTATAATAAATAAAAATAAAATGAAAAACTTATTTGGAAATGAAAGAAAATTTGTATAAAAATTCATATCTGCAAAAGATTACCGAATTTTAAAAGAAAAGCTTGTTTAATGGATTCGCTGGACCAGCTCAGTTCCAGTAATAGAAATACCGCGTCTACACGTTCATAATTGCCAGTAATAGCGATTCCAGTTTATCCGCGTGAATGCAGCCATCGTACGTCATTCGATCCGCGCAAAAATACGCGACAGGCACGCACTAGAAATAGTTAACACGGAACGATATCTACGAACGGGCAGAACCGGTAGATCTGTCAGATTTATTTTCAAACTCTATGCCTGTTCGAAACGCAAGGCGTCGCGACACTTTTAACCATGACTTCATATCGTTTACGGATGACGAGTCATGCCAAGAGATGACCGCGTCGGATCACGATCACAAATTTTCACTGGAAGCGTATTAGCCTATCACCTGCCACCATGCAAGGTGTGTCGTGAATAAATCAGCAAAAGCTTTGTCGAGCTCTCTATCGACGAGACTCCTTCGCTCGTCTTCGATATCTCGCGTCGAAACACTGGGAAAATTTCATTTCCAAGTTATTTCCTGATTATAAAAATATACGATAAAAGAGAACGTTGGTCTTATTTCAAACTTACGAAAATATTCTAACGATACAAGTTTAGTTCAAACTAATAATAATTTTCCGTTTAGACTTTAAACTCATTTTCAATACGGTTTTACCAATCTATTAAAATTGTTTGTACACATCGAGAAAAAATAAAACAAACGAATTGTTTATAATCCAAAAATATATACAGCAATGCTCGAATAACTGTGTAAATGAACGGTAGCTCGATGTCGAGCAGACCGCGCAGTGTAACCTGATCTGAACTCGAATATCGACGAGACAATGCGTAATATGTAATGCAGAAATGAAACTTTTTTATTTTTGTTCTTTTTTAAATGAAACTTTTACCAATGTATTTGTAACAGTTTTTCGATTAAAATGAGACCAAACACGATATAATTTGTTTTTAAACTCTTTCTAATAGAGTATAAAATCTCGTTAAATATGTAAATATGATTCTAATGTAAGTTATATCGTGTTTGGTCTTAGTTTAATCAGAAAAAGCTCACAAATATATTAGTAAAGGTTCCATTAACAAAGAATACAAAATAAATAAATTTCATATTGTGTTATTTTTATTTATCTTTCATTCTTTCTTAGAAAATTAACTATGCTTTTTATAACTACGATACTTCAGTGTTTCTCGCAGTAATCCAAGGTTTGCTTAATTATGTTCAATAAATAAATTGATTTTCTAAAAGAAGTTTCTTAATATTTTAGTTCCTGATAAAATACTCCTTAGAAAAAGGAGTCTCTACTTAACATCAATGAATACATATGTAATATATACATATACATTTTTAAACAAAGTACGAAAAAGAGTACGAAAATAAAAGTGTTCATTGATGGAAGACTAATTCGCACGCTTA